AAGTCTTAAAAAGGCCTTCTAGCTTATACGCTATTCACATATACCAGAGATTGTTAAGCACCTCGACGTGGTGTAATGGTTAGCAAGCTTGTCTCGCGAGATCAATTACAATTAGTGAGTTCGATCCCCAATACTTTCTAAGCAACGCTTGGAAAATAACTATACCAGAGAATGTTAGGCACATCGACCTGGTGTAATGGTTAGCAAACTTGTCTCGCTAGAACCATTATAGCTGATTAGGGAGTTCAATCCTCACTGGGTACCCCATGCTTTCGGCCATGTGCCACATCTAAGCTCCGCATAGAAAATCTTTGGGCACCTCGAGGCGGTGTAATGATTAGCAAGCTTGTCTAGCTAGAACAAATACGACTGAGTAGTGAGTTCGATCCTCACTGGGTGCCCCCTACATTCGGCCTTATGTCATATCTAAGCTACGATTGGAAAAATCACTATACCAGAGGTTGTTGTCAGATAGAGTAATTATCCCTCTCGACGCAGACTTTCATTTCAATTTCGTTCAAACAAAGTCTGTGTTTATGTGAGCACAAGTTTCTTTTAATTCAATTTATTTTTAATTCACAGACCTAAAAATTATCTTTTATTAAATTAAAGAAAAAACTTTAAAGAATAATTTTGTACATTACTGAATAATTTCTATAAAATGTTTTAATTATCTACCTTTCTTACGGTTTAAAAATGAATTTTTCTTGTTTCCAAATTTATGAGTTTCATGTTCAGCCGTAAAAATGTATGTAGGTGTGTGTTCTTGTTTAGACATTGAATGGCACAAGAACAAGTGAATCACTCACGCACAACGCTAACATACGCATATACATTAAATATACACACACAAAGTCTCACGCATAAGGTTTGACAGACAATGAATCAGCTTTAATTTTAGAACTAACAAGCTAGGTTAAAACTTCGTTTTAACGGTCCATTCTATCCTATAAACAGTTTCATTTGCCTTAATGAATCTTCCTGTTAAGAAGTTGTCAACTTCCTCTAAGCTTCTTTCTAGTCTCAAAACAGCTGCATTGCATCCTTTCTTATGTATACGATCTACGTTAATATGTCCTTTAAAAGCTTTTGAAAGAACAGGAGAATACAGAACAATCCCTCTATTATCAATTCTATAAGTTCACCTATTTCTTGCTATGGCAGCAGTTCTTCATCCATTTTCAAGTGATCTTCTTCTATAGAGAGGATATTCTGTCACTTCACGTTTAGTTTCATTAATTGAGTATTTTGGATAAACTTTTTCACATTGTCCATTTTTCATACGTAATTCTTGTGGGTTCATTGTACAGAAATGACCATAAACCATTTGTGTTGGGATAATCTCATATAATTCAGAATCTAATTTAGGATCAGGTATTTCAGCATTAATGATTTTATTAATATCCTGAGGATATTCACTATGTTCACAAGCTAAAAGTGACTGTGTGTATGTGGTAAGCCTGTCTTCTGCCATTCAACGGTGTAAGTGTAGGCTTTTGGTTTTCCAAAGATTCCACAATTTCTTTGATTTATTGCTTTGATTAATTTAGTTAATTAGATTTTAAACACTCTCGCAATAAGTTCATGTTGATCTTTAGATTTTTCTTTTAATTTTTGTAATTTTTTAAAAAATTATTTTATTCAAATTTTCTTGAATTTTTTTATCTGAAATCTTTTGGATTTTTTTATTAAGAATTATTACATTTTTTTATTCAGAACTTTTGATCATTCTTGTTAAAATATTTTCGAACAATAAGTTATGAGATTTTTGAAAATTATTTTCTTTGATGAAAATTTTTAGATTTTTTTCATTAAAATTTTCGTTATTAGCGTTGGTGATTTAAAAATGACTAAATTATGCTTTTAGCTATGAGTGTGTCGTCAACTGAATATGATATAAACCTCACGTCAGAACAATGACATTCTAAATTATATATGAAGTTAAAAAAAAAATAATAGAAATAAAAAAGAAAGATAATTCTTCACTTTCGCTGCTCAAATGGCGGTGCTTGTATTGGTCATTAAAGGGCAGGTAATTCATGTTTGACGTATTGGTTAATGTCGTCTCTCTTTCTTCCTTATTTCTGCTGATTTTCATCTCTTATTTCCTAGATTAAAAAAAAAATAGACATAACGTTTTAGCTATTTTAAAAATCTTATTTTTATTGTTGGCTTATCTAATCAAGATCTCAAACGTCGTTAAAAAATATTTTTATTTTAAAAAAAAATGTTTATTGTTGGTTTATTTAACCGAGAAACGTTGCTCTCTAGAGCGAAGCAGAAGGTCAATTTCCTTTCATCTTCGAATAAAATTAAAACGTTATTTCTTTTATAATATTCATCATATTTTATAATCTTACTTATTATAAAACGCAGATTGTGTGTGTGTGTGTGTGCGTGTGCGTGTGTGTGTGTGTGTGTGTGTGTGTGTAACGTTTATATATTGGATCGGATTTCCTACATTTTTCAACCGATTTCAACAAAACTTCACAGGACTACATAAAATTACCTTGTGGTGGTTCTAACAGCGCCAAAACTGGGAAAAATATAATTGTTTTTGCAAAAAATCAATTTGAAAACACGATTAAGAGACATCGTGAAAATGGAAGGGGGACAACTCACATCGGGTTGTTTGTGTGTGTGGGTTACTTTAAATATGGGAGCGGATTTCCTATATCTTTCAGCCGATAAAACAAAACTTCACTATTTTTTTTTTTTTGGCAGGTAGTGTTTCTTATTCTCTTGCACACTTTTTTCTTTATTTTTAACATTCAGAATGCTTTAAAAATTCCATTTACAAGACAATTATTTATAATAAAATTCTATTAAATCAGTAGACTCATAACGATTGAAAACAATGTTTCTGTTTTGAGTTTGGGTTTGACCAATTCGTAAAAAAGAAAAAAAAAAGAAAAGAAAAGATAATTAAGAAATGCGTGTCCGTCAACCTTAAACAATAATCTAACGATCTCTACTGATTGTACGAATACAAACATCGGAATAAGTTCTTTATCTTTAGGGAAAGATAATGAAATCTAAACATACACAAGTCCTAACTAAAAATAATAACCGGAACGGGAAACTACTTTAAATACACATGGTGTCCAATTTTTTTACTGTATTCAATAAGTAAAAATCATAAATTGTAAAAGATTATTATATATTACAGAGAAGGCTACTAAATGAATAAGATTTGTTAGATCATAATTAATAAACCCAAATAAAGTTAATATTTTTTGTATTAGAAACAACGAATGGAAAATATATTCAAATCAGAATTCTAATTATGAATTACCACAGGCAAAATATGCAATTGTTTTTACTGTATTCAATAAGTAAAAATCATAAATTGTAAAACTAAAAGATTACAGAAAGACTACCTACATTTTTCAACCGATTTCAACAAAACTTCACTTTTTTTGGCAGGTAGTGTTTCTTATTCTCTTGTACACTTTTTTCTTTATTTTTAACATTCAGAATGTTTTAAAAGTTCCATTTACAAGACAATTATTTATGATAAAATTCTATTCAATCAGTAGACTCATAACGATTGAAAACAATGTTTTTGTTTGAGTTTGGGTTTGACCAATTCGTAAAAAATTAAAAAAAAAAACTAATTAAGACATGCGTGTCCGTCAACCTTAAACAATAATCTTTGTCAATTTTATTTTTCAGTCTTTATGATGGTAGATACTTGATCTATCTCTTACTGTTATATCCCCGGGCAACGCCGGGCTCTACTGCTAGTAATTACTATTCGAGCCTAATTTTGATAAAATTCTAAATCAGGATATTTCTAGATTTTTGTGAATATTTCTTTTGCAAATTTTATAATCATAATAAATGTTATAACCTGTAACAGCAGACTATCATATCGGCATTAAATATGACCCAGTTTCATGACCGGCTAAGAGAAATTATTATCATTTCTCAGTTACATCTCTGTCTTCGAGTAGAGTGCAGCTCAGCTGGGTCTCTGTCCGTGGACAGAGAGGAAACTGAAGAAAATAAATACTTTGAAATGTTCGGTCCTGGGGAACATCTGCTCAACGCGGCATTCCAACATTGCTTTAGATAGGTGGGGATCGATAGTCGTTACTGAAGTCCAACAAAACCGATTGTTACGCGGGATTGGCCTGAGTTCCCCCACATTAAGCTTCATCTTGTATCTCTGTAGGGAGAGACGGACATAAAAAAAATTTAAGATATAGATTTCTAAGGTTCACAGCATTTGGATCATGGAAAATGTCGTTGTTGGCGAATCGGGATCATTTCTGAAATATGTGTTCGGCCTTGGCAGCATCGTTTGGAACGTTTTGGGATTATGTATTTGCTGTGGGGGTGATTAGTATGTTCTGAGGGGATTCAACAGAAACTGGCTATCAGGTCATTGCTGCATACATTATGGTTACAAATAAAATCAAATGAGACATTAAGTTCTAATAAATTATTCCAATACACTCATTCCTTGACTTTTCGAATCAGGAATTTTCAAAGAAAGGCAAAGAAAAAGAAAGAGAGCATCGTGATTGCCACATTTTACTCAGACGAGAACCGTTCCGTCAACTTTTTGTTAAAGAATCTATCTTGTTTTGGCGTCCATGGCAAACTAAGTTAACTTTTAAGACCAATTTCATAGGTATCATGCATATATGACAGATCTGTATCCTTGATTGGACTTGTATGCCCTACGACCCTCTGTGTACCAACATGTGTCTCCTCAACCCAGTTGGCAATCTGCAAACTTTATTGCAAACAACACAGGTATTTTCGGCAGGACGACGAGAGTTTAATTGGCTTGTTTCTGGTTGTTATGAGCTTTCAAATGGTTTACATAGTCTGCCGTCGATAACAGGATGCGCTCAAACATAACCACATTTCCAAGATTGCATATAAGTTGGCAGATCAGAATGAGTGACTCTTCGGAGATCATGCTTAATCTGAGCATGCCTGAGACGTTGCATCACCCATTTATAAACATGACCCCCGGTCTGTGCGATTTAAATGCACGTACATGCATAAAGCGAAGGGAAAGATAGATAGATAGATAGATAGATAGATAGATAGAGAGAGAGAGAGAGAGAGAGAGAGAGAGACGAAGATTTACAGACAGAGATAGATACACAAACGAGCAAGAACGAAGTGTGAGAGAAAGTGACAGAGCGAAGTGTGACTGAGAAAGAGAGCAAGAGAGAAACACACGCAGAAAGATAGACACACAGAAATAGAGAAACAATGAGAGGCAATAACAGAGTCACAATACAAAATAGTGCTAAAGAGAGAGAGACAGACAGCCATACAGATAGATCAACAGTAAGGAAAACAGTGACAGATATATATTGTGTGCAGAGAGAGAGAGAGAGAGAGAGAGAGAGAGAGAAAGAGAGTGGGTGAGAGAATGAAGAGGGAAAAAGAGAAAGTGAATGTGTGTGTGTGTGACCGAAAATCATATATATAGAAACATACATGAATGAATAGATAGATCTGAGATTACTGAGATAGATAGATAAATGTGAAATTAATGACATCGATAGATAGATAGAGAAAGAGAGAGAGAGAGAGAGAAATCTGAGATAGATAGATAGATAGATAGATAGAGAGAGAGAGATATGAGGTAGATAGATAGATAGATAGATAGAGAAAGAGAGAGATCTGAGATAGATAGATAGATAGATAGATAGAGAGAGAGAGAGAGAGATCTGATATAGATAGATAGATAGATAGATAGAGAGAAAGAGAGAGAGAGATCTGATATAGATAGATAGATAGATAGAGAGAGAGAGAGAGATCTGATAGATAGATAGATAGATAGAGAGAGAGAGAGAGATCTGATATAGATAGATAGATAGATAGATAGTGAGAGAGAGAGAGATCTGATATAGATAGATAGATAGATAGATAGATAGAGAGAGAGAGAGAGAGAGAGAGAGATCTGAGATAGATAGATAGATAGATAGATAGATAGATAGAGAGAGAGAGATCTGATATAGATAGATAGATAGATAGATAGATAGAGAGAGAGAGAGAGAGAGAGAGAGAGATCTGAGATAGATAGATAGATAGATAGATAGATAGATAGAGAGAGAGAGATCTGATATAGATAGATAGATAGATAGATAGATAGATAGATAGATAGATAGATAGATAGAGAGAGAGAGAGAGAGAGATCTGAGATAGATAGATAGATAGATAGATAGATAGATAGATAGATAGATAGATAGATAGATAGATAACGAGTGTGAATATGGATATAGAGAGAAACACACGCAGGAAGACAGACACAGGTAAATAGAAACAATGAGAAGAAGTGACGTGTGGAGAGAGACAGTGCAAAAACCGAGTTTGGGACAAGAATATAGAGACAGAGAGGAAAGGAAACAATAAGAGACAGTGACAGGCAGAGAGAGAGAGATATATACAATAGAGGCACAGAGAGAAGAGAGGGTTAGAGAGGCAGGCCTTGTTTACAACTTCCCTTTTCAAAACTACGGAGTCAAAAAAAATAATGTATTTGTTAGGTTAAAATTTCATTTCTCAGGCTAAAAGCGAAAACTAGTTGTAATGTAGTTTTGAAATCCAAATAGTTGCGTCTGAACCTCTGAAGAATTCAGATAATATATATTCTGAACCCTTCTTTTAGTTCTTTAAACTCTGCGCTGTCACTTTCCCTGTAAATAGTCAAAGAAAATTTAACATCCATTCAACAAGTATTTTTGTTTATTTGAGTGCTTTCTTTTCTTTCGTTATTTACCTCTCCCTCCCTCACTCTTTCACACACACACACACACACACACACACACACACACACACACACACACACACACACACACACACACACACACACACACACACACACTATGTATATATTTATCTGACTGTGTTATATTCCTGAAACTAAGGTAGCGGAATCACCGTTTCAGCCATATTGTTTTTGTGTGAATTGTTTAGACATGGAAGTACCGTTTCAGCCATATTGTTTTTGTGTGAATTGTTTAGACATGGAAGTACCGTTTCAGCCATATTGTTTTTGTGTGAATTGTTTAGACACGGAAGTACCGTTTCAGCCATATTGTTTTTGTGTGAATTGTTTAGACACGGAAGTACCGTTTCAGCCATATTTTTTTTGTGTGAATTGTTTAGACATGGAAGTACCGTTTCAGCCATATTGTTTTTGTGTGAATTGTTTAGACACGGAAGTACCGTTTCAGCCATATTGTTTTTGTGTGAATTGTTTAGACACGGAAGTACCGTTTCAGCCATATTGTTTTTGTGTGAATTGTTTAGACATGGAAGTACCGTTTCAGCCATATTGTTTTTGTGTGAATTGTTTAGACACGGAAGTACCGTTTCAGCCATATTGTTTTTGTGTGAATTGTTTAGACATGGAAGTACCGTTTCAGCCATATTGTTTTTGTGTGAATTGTTTAGACACGGAAGTACCGTTTCAGCCATATTGTTTTTGTGTGAATTGTTTAGACACGGAATTACCGTGTCGGCCATATTGTTTTTGTGTGAATAAAAGAACTGAAGATCGTTTCGGCGGAGAGAAGACTTAAGTCAAAACTGCGTTGGCGTTAGCACTACAGAACCTCCACCTAACAAGTTTTTGTTTCTAATGTTATTTTTCAATACAGTAGTACCTTATTTAGTTTTTGAAAAGTATATTTTCCTATGCATCGTTGAGTTTCTTTATTATATATTCTGTCGTTGTTTTTATTGCACTTAATTTTGACATCCCGATACTCAACTTGGTGTATCCCTTTTGTTCACCACCCTTTTGTCTTCTTACAATCAATAATCAGTCATTTCTTCTTGTTTTCCTAGTCTACATTATCTCATACAGTGTCATCTGTGCGACGATGATTTTTAATGCTAATTAAACGCAAGGTTTCTCTCGGCGATAATAAATCCTGGTAGATTATCTATTTTAGTAGACTCGTCGTGCTGTATTAAATAAATCCGGTGAAAAAAAAAAACACATAATTCCTTTTTTGGATGTTCGTTGTTTGTTCGTAAAAGACTGATTTGTTCCCATTATCGATTGTGAATTATTCATATATCCTTTCCGTGTAGATCAAGGTTTTGTAGCATGTCAAGAAGTTCTTACTGAGGAGTACTTTTTAGTATCATAGTTTTGTCATAACAATAGGAAGTTTGATTCAGACTTAGTACGCTACAATTGTGATTTTATACGAGCCTAAGCCCCCACGCAGCTATCGTTTAAAAATCAGAACAGACTAGGCTATCTAGCCTTGATTGGCAGCCAGCCTAAAACAACAACTCTGAATACCAAACCGTGGAGAAGACAACGAGAAACCACTTCACTATTTTATTCCAAGAAGCCGTGGCAACTCAAATAAAGAAAATAAAATAAAATTTATCTTTGTAGAATGGTGATCCTGAAGGAATATACCATTATGAGAGAAAATCTACGCTTGCTAGATTTATTAAAAAGAATTAATTAAAAGTACTTTATATAGATTAAGATATTAGTCTGGAAATGATTGTAATTTGATAAAATGTAATTTGTGTAACGATTATAAAATTATTTATCTCCCATCTGATAGATATGGACCATCGCGTAAAGAAGTGTAGTTCAACATGGATACTTTTAGAATAGAAAAAGAGTAGATTAAAAAAAAAAGAAAAAAAAGACAAATCTATTTTTCTTAAATTTTCAGAAATATAAAGAAGGGATTGGAAAACAAAGGTATTCACTTATTCTACAAGTAACCCACCTACACAAAAACGTATTTGCATAGATAGCTTGGCCTAGAGACAGAGAAACAGGCAAGAATGTACATTGCATTGTATACCTGAGATAGAGATCAAAATGAAATTGTTGAGTCAATTCATTTTTGTGCGCATATAAGTTCTTGAGCATGCGCATTTGGGCATAAGCGTGGACTTGCATATCCAGTCGACCAAAATTACATATTTCCGAGGCTCACACAGACAAAAATAGAAAAAAATGTTCAATAGAAAAAATAGGTATTATTTTACTATACTAAATATAAATTAAATTTCTTTATTGGTAGCATGTATTTATGCATAAAAAACAGAGATTGGTAACACGTATGTGCTTGATAGCTATCAAGCTAGATATATAGATAGGTGTGTGTGTGTGTGTGTGTGTGTGTGTGTGTGTGCGCGCGCGCACGCACACACACACATACGAATAAATTAACCAAAATAATAATGAAGTTACAGCGAGGGAAGATTTTCTGCAGTTCAGATATTACACCAATTATGATTTTTTTAAAATCATTTCCCTCTAAGCAAGGCTGTGATGCCACTAGAACGCAGGGGATTACTGGAAGTTAAGAGAATGAGAAGACTGAGAAAAGGGGAGGATTGGTGAAAGAACAATAAAGGAACAGGGTTCAAGAAGACAGATTGACGTTCCATTTAAAATTTTGAAGATTCTATTCAACAGGGAAGCAAGACATCGGAAGGGAGTTCCACAGGTGAGAAGTGCGAGAAAAGAAACTGTTAGAGTAGAAGTGGTGGTTGCTAGCTAGTTCAACAGTAAGACGGTGGGATCAAGTTGCCTATCTGGTAGCACGCTTAAATTCATGTAGTCGGGACACCAGGGGAAATTCTTCCTGTAAGCCCAACTAAATTTAGCTTCATGTCCTACATAAATAACACACACACACACACACACATACATATATATATATATATATATATATATATATATATATATATACACGCGTGTGTGTGTGTGTGCGTGTGATAAAATATAGTTTTATTGTATGTTATATGTATGGGTTAAAGTGCTCCATATCAGGGAAAGACTGTATGTAAATATAAAAGTGGCCATTGAAGTCCACACCCAGAGGCGACAGTCTGTTTAATTCTAAACGGAATCGTCATAACCTGACGATTGTTTTTTATCATGAAACAGACTGTCACACCTGGGTGTTGACGTCAATGTCCACTTATATATATATATATATATATATATATATATATATATAGAGAGAGAGAGAGAGAGAGAGAGAGAGGGAGGGAGAGAGGGAGGGGGAGAGAGAGAGGGAGAGAGAGAGGGAGAGAGAAAAAGAGAGAGAGAGTATATGTTCATTGAGATACTTCGCGTTTAATTTAGAAATTCATTCATTTATAAGTTAGTCACAATATATATAAATATATACTGTCACTGGACTTCTATTCTTAAAGTTAACTCATATTATACATTAGGATACTTCGCTCTAAGTTAGACGCGAAGTATTTCAACGTATAGTGTCAATAAACATCTATTATTAAAATTAACTGACAGTATACATCGAGATAGTTCTCTCAAATACGTTTTCTAAGTTAGACACGAAGTCTCTCAATGTATAGTGTCAATGGACGCCTATACTTAAATTTAATTTCAAGGCAGATGATTGGTATCAAAAGGACTATGCTTGATGTGAATTACGAATTTTGATGGAGACGTTAAAATCAAGCATGTACAGAAATTTATTAGACGAGGAAAATTGTAAAACAGAAATCTTAATTTCTTAATACTTTGTTTAGATTTTGGAAGGCATCTTTTTGTATTCTAGATAAATTTCATGCTTGAATTTGACGTTTCCATTTCATAGCTCGCATCTCGAGTTGACCATTTTGCTAACAACCATCTGCCTTGAAATGAACTTCAAGAATAGATGTTCATTGACAGTATACATTGAGGGAATTCGCGTCTAACTTAGAAATGCATTTTCTCATAGTTTGTGAATGTAATACGAGACCGCAGTTTGAGAAACAAAAGTTCTTAGCCTCTTTGATGTTATTGTGAGACACAAATAGCACTTCTTTTTTCAAACAGATATTTCAATAAATTTCCATTCATCAAAACCGTTATCCACGCCGACGCAGGCCAAGTCGTACAACCTTCATTAAGGGTATATCCCAAGTGAAATTTATTTTTGAACTTAAAATCAGAAGGAAAGACTTAGCTTGCCTTCAGGGACGAACTTAAGGAACAGATTCCTAACTCAATTATATTTTTATTAACAAAATAAATAATGGTAATGGTTAACCAAATATGTAATTAGCGTTTCGATTTAGGAGATCAAGTCAATAACTTTCACAGCGAACTGTTAACATCTATCTATCTATCTATCTATCTATCTATCTATCTATCTATCTATCTCATTCTGCTTCATTCTATCTCCAACTGTTTCTATCTAAACCTCTTTCTTTCTATCTATCTATCTATCTATCTATCTATCTATCTATCTCATTCTGTTTATTTCTATCTCAAACTTTTTCTATCTAGCTAAAACCTGTTTCTATCTATCTATCTATCTATCTATCTATCTATCTATCTATCTATCTATCTATCTATCTATCTCTCTCTCTCTCTCTCTATATATATATATATATATATATATATATATATACAGGATGTGATAGATAAATGGTCGTCTCAATTACGCAAAAGTGAAAATAACGCTGACATCTCATTTAACAGATATATTTATCAAAATTACACAAAAGATATCTCGAAATAGTAAAGAGTAAATTAATCAATAAAATCGCCATTGGCTTCAACCACAACCGCCAGAAAACTTCGGAATCTCCTGCAACTCTTCTGGACTGTGTTTTTGTTTAAGTTGGTGAATAGTGTGATAAACCTTGCCTTCAGTTCATCTTTGTTTTTGTTGATCTCTCGCTCAACTGCACCCCACACATAATAATCAAGGGGGTTGGAGTCTGGGGTGTTAGGTGTCCAGATGTAAGGAGTGATGGGGTCATAGAAATTGTCTGACAGCCATGACTGCCTTCTCCTGCTTGTGTGGCATGTTACCAAACATAGGATCTTCCCGTAGCCACTCTCTTGACCCAGAGCAGCACTATCCCCTCAAGGCAATTGATATAGGCCTCCGTGTTGAGTCTGAGGCCCTGTGGTAAGATGAATGGAAGCATAGAGTTGCCATCACTGTTGATTACTACTAACACCTTCATAATCACCATTAGACTCATCCAACTAAGTCAGAATCCTCTGCACTGTCCTTAGATTGACATCCAAATGCACTAAAATGTTAGTATTGGAACTTCCGGCGCGAATGCCAAGCAGTACAGCATAGCGTTTCTAAATTTCTGGCAGACTGTGCCCAACTTACCCTAACATACTGTGCAGTCGACAAAATGAAAAACAAAGAACGCGCATGCGCGAAATAAAAATTATAAAATACCGACAATTTACTCATCGCACCCTGTATATATATATATATATATATATATATATATATATATATGTGTGTGTGTACATATATATATATATATATATATATATATATATATATATATATATATATATATCCACCTCACTCAATCTGTTTCTGTCTATCTTTCAATCTGTTTCTATCTATCTATCTCAATCTGTATCTATCTATCGATCTATTTGTTTATACACATTTATTTCTGTACCTCTCTATATATACATTTCCGTCTTCCTCTCTCTCTCTCTCTCTCTCTCTAACTCTCTTCACTCTCTCCTCTCTTTCTCCTGTGTTTTTACTCTATCTCTCTCTGTCTGCACAATGTATATCTCTGTCACTCTCTCACTGTTTTCTTTCCTCTTGTTCTCTATCTTTCTGTCTGTCAGTCAGCCTCACTCGCTCTCTGTCTCAACTATTCCTCCTGGCACAATTTTCTAAAGTTCTGTCACACTGCATAGAACGCTTACTTTTCCTTACTATGATTCATTTTATTTTCGATTGGGTGTCCTGTTCATCTTTTGTATATATATATATATATATATATATATATATATATATATATATATATATATATATATATATGACTAATATTATACATTAGGATACTTTGCTCTAAGTTAGACGCGAAGTATTTGAACGTATAGTGTCAATAAACATCTATTATTAAAATTAACTGACAGTATACATTGAGGTAGTTCTCCTCTAACAAATACGTTTTCTAAGTTAGACACGAAGTCTCTCAATGTATGGTTGCCATCACTGTTGATTACTAACACCTTCATAATCTCCATTAGACTCATCCAACTCAGTCAGAATCCTCTGCACTATCCAAACGCACTTTATTAAAATAGAAATCCTCGCCAATTCTTCATATTTCTATTTGTACCCTCTTACTTCTTTAAATTATTACGTACATTCATATTTATGATTGTTATTTCAATGTTTTGTTAAAGTTATTTAGCTTAAATATTTAACCATACAGTGGGTTAATTTCCACTGGTATTTTATAATCGTGGAATTCGCAAGGGGCATATCCAATCATTAAATTAAGAATTATGATTCATCAGAAAATTTAAATAGAAAACAGCGAGGTTTTAATAGGTACTGCTAGTTAAAATGAATTATATGCATTTTAACAAAAGGTGTTAGTAATTATCCTATTTACAATTTCTTCTTAGGTCCGCAAGAGAGAGGCACTCTTTGATGCACAAAAGAAACTTGAAGACCAAATGCGTGAAGAAGAGGACGAACTGCTCATGTCATTTCAGAAAGAGCGTAAAGCAGAAAACCAGAGGCTCTCTCAAGAAATTGAAGAAGAATGGGAAAAGCAGTTGGTGGAATTGACCAAAAAATTCAATGATAAAAGTCGAAAAAAGATGGCTGACATCGACAAAAAGGTGAGTACAGTAAAAAAAAGTATGACATTGGTAAAAATTTAAGTTCTTAAAAAAAAGAAGGCTAACATCGACAAAAATGTGAGTACATTAAAAAGATATCCAGTCAAAAGGTGGGTACAATAAAAAAAAGAAAAAAAGATGGCTGACATCAGTAAAAATATGATTAACAATGACGGGAGAAAAGATGGATGACATCGACAAAAATTTAAGTACAATAAAAAATAGAGAAAAGAAGAATGATATAAAAAATGTGAACACAAAAAAAGAAAAAAGAAAAAGATGACGGACATCGACAAAAAGGTGAGTACTGTAAAAATGACTGGCGTTAACAATAATTTGAATACAATAGAAAAAAGATGGCTGGCATCAATTAGACATTACGACAATTAAACGAAAAAGATTGACATCAATAAAAATATTAGTACATTAAAAAAGAGGTCTGCCATCGACAAAAAGGAAATCATTAAACGAGTTACCTATTTTTACTTTTCAGTGAGTTTGATTAAAGGGTTAGATGAACATTTAGCGTTGAAATCCACCTGAATGAAGTCCACCTGATTGAAACGAAATCATAGCAGACGACATGAAAAAAGCAGTATGACAGGCAAAGGCGTCAGTAGGACAGGTAAGAAGTAAGATATACTGCTTACTTGTTATACTGGTGTGCATAAAAAATCATTGGCGATTTCGCGGTGAGGTATAATGAAATCAACTTGGGAAAAGTTGACGTAATTCCGGTTAATCCATGGGGCTCCATTTCCACCATCTTTTGACTCGACTGGCCATATATATAAGACATGTTACAGATCTCAATAAATTCCCTGAAACTACAAACAGACTGAGCATACTTTTAAGTATGATCAGTCAAATACCTACCTGGCACAGGGCTCATCCCTGGGCTGGTGGTATCACGGCTGGGACTAGTTTGGACCGGCTCCGGCCTGGACCAGCGTGGACAAGCCAAGACCAGCTATGACTAGCTTAGACCAGCTCTGACCAGCTTGGACAAGCTATGACCAACTAAAACCAGTTTGAACCAGCGGCCCGTGTGAAAACATTCGGGTCCCCACGTTAAAAACTGACCTTGTGTCATAACCTGACTCAGTGGGGGGGGGTCAAGTAAATATCCTGAAACTACAAACACATCAGTTAGGGACAGACTTGAAATGTACGTGAGTAGCTATATTCATTCAACTACTGCAGCCTCTTAGTTTGTTGGGTTATGTAATGTCGAAATTATACTTGAGTCTATTGTTACATTTAACTATACCATACCACACAACGAATTAGAAAACAGCCTCTTGTTTTCGATAAAGTCAAGCAAAGCAAATACTGAAAGGAAACTATAAGAACTCCTACAGAAAACAGTGAAGGAAAGCGAGAATAAAAGACTAAGCATCAATTGCAAGAAGACAGAATGTCTAATTGTTAGCAAGAGGAACAGACCAACATATGAATTATTAATTTGAGATACCAAAATCAAGCAAGAATAAAAAAAAAATTAAATATCTAGGAAACGTTTTAACAGAGGAAAGAAATTGCGACACCGAAACCCAATGGTGAATTGGAATAGTCAAAGATGTTTTCCAAAAGCTAAGCAAATTATTAAGAAACAGGAAAATTTCGTTAAAAACAATGAAAAGAGTTGTCTTTTATGTGTTTTATCCTTTCAAGACGTAGACGATCATGATCCTCCACATCTTCCTGTCCCTTGTAACTCTTAATAGATTTTGTCTTTTTGATATTTCCCCCAAACCCTGTTCTACCATATATTTACTCAAGCCCATCAAGTATGTTACGCGCTGTTTTCCTCTGACCCTCAATCTGCCCTGTGAATATCAGATTTTCCAAGCCCTCCTTCCTCATCACGTGCCCTATAAATTTCAACAGCCTCTTTCTGATGTTAAGTATAAGTTTCCTATTTGTTTCCGTTTTCTCCAAAACCTTGTCTTTGCCCTGACAACGGGAGACCACTATCAAGTCCAAGAAATTTCATGAAAACAGTACTGAACTGTTATATAATATCTCTCCTCCTTCTATGTGACAATAAATACTAGAAATTCACCTCACAGAAGAGACTTGAAGTAACAAAAATGTTCTGCAGAAGGATACTGAGAATACTATGGACTAAACACATGAGCAATGACGAAATTTTAGAGAAAATTGAAACAAAAGGGACACATACTTAAGAAACACTTGAAATTTTTAGGGTACAAAATGAGGAAAGAAGGCTTGGAAAATTTGATACCCACAGAATATACTGAAGGCAAAATGGACAGAAGGAAACAGTGCCTAACCTACCTAACGAGCTTGTGTAAAGAGTTGGCAGAACAGGGTTTAGGAGGGATAACAAATTACAAAATTTATTAAACTTCCAAAGGACAGGAAATTGTGGAGAATTATGACCACCGACCTCTTGAAGACACATGGTACCTAGATAAAGAATTACTGACATGCAAAATACAATACGAAAGTGTTTTTGCAATTCATTTTATATACAGAGATATGCGAAATGACAGGGATACACAGGAACTCAAAGCGGCTATAAATGTATACACATCAATATCTTGTTAGCAAAAGACAGGAATTTGTCTTTCTTTTCTGTCAATATTTGGGCAAGCCGTGTTGTACGATCAAAACATCTGGCGTCCCACGTAAGACGATAAACTACGTCCAACATCAAGGCCTCTGATCAGGAGGTTTTGAGGAGAGTGGAACCACCTCTTAATTGCTAGTGTTCCCAGGTCCACCTTGACCCTAGGTGGAGGCACCTATTAGGGTCCCAGCTATGGGCAAATAGTTAACACCCAAACTGGGGTTAAAATACTATGAAAGTGTAAAAACAGGTTTTAATACCAGAAATACTTTGTAAAAATTATTACCAGCAATAATTTTTTGAAGGAAAAACTTTATTGTCAACAATACTTAAAAAAAAAAAATATTACCAGCTATACATTTTTTTTTAAAAAAAGTATTGCCAAAAGAAGATTTTTGAAAAAAAATAAAAATATTACCAGCTATATATATTTTTTTAAAGTATTGCCAGAAAAAAGATTTTTGGAAAAAATAAAAATATTACCAGTTATATATTTTTTTAAAAAAAAGTATTGCCAGAAAAAAGATTTTTGAAAAAAATAAAAATATTACCAGCTATATATATATATTTTTTTTTTAAGTATTGCCAGAAAAAAGATTTTTTGAAAAAATAAAAATATTACCAGCTATACATTTTTTTTTTTTGAAAAAAGTACTGCCAGAAAAAGATATTTGAAAAAATATCGCCAGCAATAATTTTTGGAGAAAAAATATTACCAGCAATAAAAATTGTCGGCATTAAATAACCCATTGAGGTTGACATGCCGTAAAACAAACCAAACCAAACCAAATGAAAACACCTGACAAGGCAGAGCCAGGAAAGAAAAACTCACTTATTGCTTGAGTAAATGAAAATAATCTCCGTTGATTAAATTACAATCATATCTCTCTTTCTCTCCCTGTGCAATGGCTTTTCAGGATCATGGCTCTCCACAGTTACCTATATTTAGTTGTAATTACTTTGTTTCCTCTTTCCTTTGGTCAACTTGTTCCACCATCCATTTTTACTCTAATTGCTCAAGTAATTTTTAAAATCTAGAGATTGCACCTAGTGTGATCAGAGGAAACTGTATCAGAGAATATATGTATATATATATATTAATATATATATATGTGTGTGTGTGTGTGTGTATGTGTGAAAAGTGTGTGTATATAAATATAAATAAATATATATATATATGTATAATTATTTATATATTATATGCGCGGTACTTATTAGTGTTTGTCTGATGATCGCTAAAGCGTGAAACCCACGGTCACAAACTCACATCTATCCAACCAAATATATATATATATATATATATATATATATATATATATATATATATATATATATATATATATATATGTATGTATATACGTATTTCTACACACACACCTATATATATACATATCGCCTCTCTAAAAGCCAGCCTGGTTGGGGTTAATGATCCTACCTAAGGTGTCCAAAATATATATGCCCACAAGGTCTGCTACCTGAGCAGAGTCAAATTCTCCCATAGGAACGATGAAGTTTTCGTTGTTCTTTTTCATCCAAGTTGAGTCATTATACAATAGTATAGATCTTCTAGAAGTTATGGTAATATTTTGTTCAACTTCAGTGATATCAATGTAATTTTTAGCGAAATTTAGACTATTTATTAATGATTATTCAGAAATATATATATGTATGCACACCCCAGTCTTGACTTTAATTACTGATGCACAGGCTCTTGCAAACTTATATAATCAGTGAAACGTGTGCACTTCTGTGATGCGCAAATTTAGTCACTCAAGCGCGCTTAATGGCTTTCTTACTTTGATACCTGTTTTTCGACTTACTAAAAAATGATCGATTGATTTATTTATTTGGTTTATCCAAATGGCGCCAATAAATTTCTTTTGATCCTCGGCTTAGCAGTTTGACGATGCTGTTGTCCTTTTCAATAGAATCTATGATAGGAACACTATTCACTAAGATAAGATAATCATGTTGTAACTATTTGGTGGCAGATATATACAAAACTTACCTAAGTTTCTCACAAGACTAGAATGTTCGGACACAAGCCCGATACACTAGTTTTTTTGTTTTGTTTAACCTAGCTTAACCACAGGCGCCATTAAAATGTCGTCGAGGAAGTTTATAAATTTATATTATTTTACGCTGCATAAGAAACAAAACTTCATGCTTTTATTGGAATTAGAAAAGTCCCTTATATGTACATCTGGTTTAGCCTCTTCTTCTCCACCGCATCAACAGTATATAAAAGAAAAAATTAACAAGGAAATTCCGAAGTGCAGGCAGTAAGCATGACCTTAACTGGCGCCTGTATCAAAGCAGGCGTACCACAAAGCCGTATTATGCTTAGCAGTTGTTGGAATTCGGTGAAGTCGGATATTTACAATTCAGGCCAGAATACTGTCGC